TAAATAATACTTTATATAAACAAACAAATTGTCAAAAAGCAACTATTGTTAATTCAGTTTCTTTCTCTTCTCTTCTAATATCAATTATGTTTCCTGCAACTTAGCTACGTCTTTCATTTTCTCCTTGCTTTTCCTTTTTAAAGCATTCGCTTTGCTGACCAATGATAAATTGTTTTCTTTTTCCGCTTGTTCCACAGTTAAGACAAACTCTATTCTAGCATCAATGAAGTTTTTGTAAGGAAACCCATTTTAGATTTTAGCTCTTCAATTTCAGACAAAATAATGGCTTTCTGATCTAACATAGCATGTTTTTTATTCTTTGACTTCTCTTCCTCAAGCATGATCTGGTATTTTTGATGAGCAGATTTAAAGGCAACTTTCATTTCTGATGTAATCTGGACAGAGTGGGGGTTGAGGTTGTTGGTAAGCATGAAATCACGCACAAGACGCCGTCCAACAATACCATCTGTTGATATATTATCGGTAACCACATCCTTATTGACACTAAACCCCCGTTCAACTGATGCCTGTCCATGACTCAGAGTCAAAACCAACTTAATGACAGATGACAACTCTGGATACTTTTTTATGTCAATGTTTTTGAAGTAAAAATCATCAAGACGTTTATTATTTCGATCATAACTATTGATCATATTTACTACTGATTATATTTCGATTATATTTAATAATTATATTTTATATTTTCGATTATATTTAATAATTATATTTTATTATTAACTACTGATTATATTTCGAACATAAACCATTACTTTTTTAATAAAAACTTTCAAAAGTTTTCAACAAAGTTGAAAATCTTTGAAACTTTCTGTAACTTATGTAACTTAAAATAAAAAAAGAAGTTTTTCGCTTTAAAGACACAAAAATGTTTAAAGTTAAAGATGCTGTTGTTTATAGAATAAATTACAGAAATAGTTTTAAACGATTGAAATTGATCATTAAAAATTAGTCTTTTTATAATAAATAAAAAAAAGGAATTATTTTTTTTATAATAAATAAAAACAAGAAACATACACTATTATTGTAAAAATAAAGTAATAACCATAGACAATTTAAATAAAATATTTTTATTGATTAATATTTTAAAACAATTGTTAGTAATAAGAGCGTTTTGCCTATTAAAATACATTTAAAAATATTCAAGTTTTAAAAAAGTTAAAAAGCCGTGGTCAAATTTTTAAAAATAAAATATTATATGCGTGGTAAAGGTGTGAAACACTATAGTGTATTTTTTAATTGTCAAAATAAATGGGAAGCACCAACAGAAACATAATAGCTTATTTGTAAAACGAGTAGTTTCTCAATCAGAATTCCCTGACTTTTCCCTGACTACCTAGAAAAAAAAAAAATTTCCCTGACTTTTCCAGGTTTTCCATGACTTTATCCAAATTTGGCTGATTTTCCAGGTTTTCCAGGTTTTCCAGGTACAGTACGAACCCTGTATTCAAGTAATTTCCTGCTTAGCCACTTCTTGTGGTCCGGACAACATACCTGTTATAATCTTGCAGGAGTGTTCTCCATAGTTGTCGTCATTACTTTTTTTTTGGAAACCAGTGTCTTTAGTGCCATCTACTTAAATTCATTCTCATGCTACTCAATTTCAATCAAGTCTCATCCTTTTACTGTGACTGTTCTTAAGTGCTTTAAAAATTCTTATTTGTCTAGTTTTTTTCCTCGAACAACGTTTTTTGGAATTCGCTTCCATCTTCTTGTTTTCCTGACTCATATAACTTGGAATATTTTAAGTTGTCTGTCAATCGTTACCTTGCTCTATAAACTTTATCTTTTCTCTTCCAGTAGCTTCCAAATAGGGGTTGCTTGCAGCCTTGTTGAAAGTAAAGATGTTATATATATATATATATATATATATATATATATATATATATATATATATATATATATATATATATATATATATACATATATATATATATATATATATATATATATATATATATATATATATATATACATTTATATAGTAGCTTCCAGTAGCTTCCAAATAGCGGTTGCTTGCAGCCTTGTTGAAAGTAAAGAAATTATATATATATATATATATATATATATATATATATATATATATATATATATATATATATATATATATATATATATGTTATATATATATATATATATATAACATATATATATATATATAACATATATATATATATATAACATATATATATATATATATATATATATATGTTATATATATATATATATGTTATATATATATATATATATATATATATATATGTGTTATATATATATATATGTGTTATATATATATATATATGTTATATATATATATGTGTTATATATATATATATATATATATATATATGTTATATATATATATATATATATATATATATATATATATATATATATATATATATATATATATATATATATTAGTTTTATTCGCGTTCTTCCAAAAAATGTGTTATGTTTTTGTCTATAATAACTTGAGGTATTATTAAAAAAAAATTAATTGAAGATAATATTTTTTTAAAGTTGTTGTTTATAAAATTAATAATAAAACTGCATTTAAACAAAATTAAAAAAATGCACAAATTTTTTAAATAAAATAATTTTTTTGTAATACTCTTTGTTAATTTATACATAATACTTTTTATTTCAAACAATCATTAAAATTTCTTACTTTATTTAAAATTCATTTAGGTTAGCAAAACATTTAATTTTATTTACATAAAAACGTTTAACTAAATAGTTTACAAAATAAAACAAAAAAACTTTGACTTTTGGTATGTTTTGGTATGTTTAACTTTATGAATTTTAAAAAAAAATTATTGAAACACATTTTTTGTTGTATACAAATTACTTTAGGGCGTTTACATTTTAAAAAATCCATTAAAAAAAAAAATGCTTTTAAAATAAAATAAAATTTTACTTAACATTCTTATGATTCAATATAAGAGTTTTAAAACAAATAAAAAAGCAAATCGTTTTAAAACATTTACATTCATCATTAAAAAAAAAATACCTTTGAAATAGAACTTTTATTTGTTTATGATATAATTTATTTAATAGTGTTTTGAAACTTTATTTAAAAGTGTTTAGCATAGCGTAAAAACATACCATTAGAAAGTTTACAAAGCATAACAAAAAATAACTTTGTTATGTTTTTGACGATTAAATTTATGGATTCATCAAAAAGTTCATTTAAATATTTTTTCGTTATTTACAAAATCAATTGCACAAATTGTTTAAATAACATTTGAAAAATATTCAGTGTAATAACTTTTTAAGTATATAATATCTTTCGATAATTTTAATAAAAGGTTTTTTATAGTTTACAATCATTAAAAGCAATATCTCAATATTTGCCACTTTCAAATGGGGTTATATAAGGTAATGTAAGTCTAATTGATATTTATCAGTTCTTCTAAAGAATGGCTTAATACAAAAGTTTTTTTTTTTATTGGTGGTTACAACTATCTCTCAACTCAGTACAAAACTTGAAAAATAGATGTGTGGATAAACAAGTTGATTGCTTCTAGTTTAAAGCAAACGCTCTACCACAATACACTACCACATATTTGAAGCATCAATAAACTTTATGTAAAAACTGATCAAATAATCTAATAGAATTACCTTAAGATGGTTACCTTGTTGTGGTAGCATTTGCTTCTTAAATAAATTTCAAAATAAGTTTTTGTTCCTTAAAAGCTTACACTATAAATACAGTGAAGAACTTAGAAGTGTTTTAGTACCGTTTTATCAGTATAGGCACCCAAACAAGTGCCCATACCGGCACCATAAGGTTTTTGATCTTTAGCTTGCTATTTTAGTTTACACAAGGAAAACAAAAAAACGAAGTATAAACTTTTTCAGACAATTTTTTTTCCTTTCAATATTCTTTTTAAAATAATAGAAAAAAAGGTTTCAATAACTTAATGAAAAATATTCAGTGTAATAACTTTTTAAGTATAAAAAAGTTTTAACAGATAACTAAATAAAACTTAAAAGTTTTATTTAGTTATCTGTTTGAAATAACTAATACATAGATGAGTATTTGACTTTATGAAAATCCCGAAAATTTTTTTCTATGAAAATCCCGGAAAATTATTTTATTAAAAATGGATTGTATAACAGACAACAAAAACTTTCGTAAACTTTTAAAAAGGAATTTAGATTATTTAACTTTTTACAAATAGGTAAATAATTTTAAATATTCGAAAAAGATCATTTGAATGAATTAAAGAGCAAGAAAAAAAGAAATAAAGTTGTTACAAAAATTTATTTCGAGAAAACTTTAATTATAGAAAACATATTTGTTTAAATGCAAAAGTTGTCGCATTTAAAATTTTATGTAAAAATATATATATATTTTTTTTAAATTAATAACAAAAAACATTCGGAAAATTCTGGAAAATTAAAGGAATTTTAAGCAAATTTCCAGAATTCCGGGAATTCCCAGAAAAAACTCATCTATGTAAATGTAATTTATTTATTCAAATGTAATTTTTTAAATTATTCTTAATAATTAAAAAATTTTTTTTTTTTAAATATGTTTTTAAAAATATAATATGATTTCTAATCAAAATAAAAGAATATTTTTTAAATTATGTTTACTGTAATTATCTCTTTAATTATCTTTAATTTAAAAGGCGCCTTAAAATCACTTTAAAAATATAGCCTTTAGTAAAAGTTAAATGAACATAATATTACTAATATTTAAATCAAAATTTAAAATTTAAAATAATAGAAAATAAGTTTATTAAATGCTTATGTTTTTATTCAAATAGTTTATTAAATACTTTTCTTAAATGCTTATTGAATTTGTTTACTAAATGCTTATGTTTTTAATTCAAGATGTAAAACTATTTTGTTAATTTTACAAATATTATGCAATATAATATATGTAAATATATTATGTAATGTAAATATTGATTAAAAATAACTATGATTAAACATTGATTAAGAAAAACAAATGTTACAATTAATAACCATACCAACTATCAACTTTCCATCAATAACTCCAACAGTTGCCGGATAAGCACCATATTTTTTCACAATATTTTCAACCTTTAGAGCAGTGCTACACATATAGATATTAAAAAATAAAAAGATTTTATTACAATCAGATAGGCAGATATAAAACTAATTCAGATTTAAAACATAATTAATAAAGTTATTGAAGTTTAAGAATCAAAATTGTTTATTTGTTGCTAAATTAACTTAAAAAATATCTTACTTAAACTCATAAATTAGCAATAGTAACCACAAACCTTAAATTACCCCAAATTGTAAGCATTATTTACCTTAAATTGTCTGGATAGGGCATTCCGTGAGTTATTATTGTTGATTCAAGAGCAATAACTGGTTGATAATTTTTAAATGCAGTTTTAACATGATCGCCAACTTTAAAAAATTCAGGAGGAATAGTTCCAATTCTTCTATTTATTTGAAAAAAAGACTTTGTGCATCTTTTTTCTAGCCAGGAAAACGATCTCATGGGAAATGCTTTATACATTTCTCTTTAACAATTTGAATAATAAATTTAAATTCTTATAAATTATTTTATCAATAATGGGGTAAGAACAACTAGTGTGAAAAGTATAAACATCAAGTACTTATTTACATGATAAATAATCTTCCTTATATATTAAAATCAGGTTTTGAATTTTTTAAAGTGCAGACCTGAAAAGTTCTATAACAATTCACTTAAATATATTTCAAAAACTCAAAACCTAATTTTAATTTATATGAGAGAAGGCGAACCTATTTACACATGACTTATTTGATAAAATTTTTATAATAAAAATAGAACAAAAAAAAAAACTAAATGACAGGGGCATTTCATAATTTATTTTGAATAAACTATTATACATGTGTTCATTTTAGATCCAGGAAAAAAATTACAATACGAGTATTCCTAGATTAAAAAAATATCCAAAACAATAGCATTGCTTAAACACCTAAAAATTAAGATACTAAATAAAAAATATAAGATGGAATACTTGAATCGCATAAAATGTTTCATATATAAAAATTTTGAAAACTAAAGTTATTAAATTTTAATTGTGTTTTTCTTTTTTGTTAATTTAGAAGTACAATTATTATCAAATTCAGTAGCTTTTCTTTTCTTTTTAACTGAACAATTATCAATTGAATTCTTCTTTTTTAATTTAGTAGTACAGTTATTATCAATTTCGGTAGCTTTTCTCTTTTTTTTTACTGGAGAATTATCATTCGAATTCATTTTCTTTATTAATTTTTTATTTTGTTTGAAGTTAGGCACAGTTGTACACTCATTAATTTCACATGTATCGACTAGATTTGAATCAACTGATTCGTTATCATCTTCATTATTTTCACTATTGTCTTCAACATCAGAATTTAATACAAAGTCAGGAATAGAAATTTCAGTTTCTTTGCTAGGTGATTTTTGATCTTGACCATTACAATTTAAACCAGGTTTTTCAGCTTCTTTTTTTAAAAAGTAGGCTTTTTTAAATCTATAACCTGTAACATGCTGCTCAATTTCGTGAGGCAAATTATTTATTTCTTTTTTTGTAAGCGTGCAAAATAAACAGGATTTTGATTTTCTACTAGGCAGAAAATATTCTTTATATGGACCTTCAATTACTTTGTCAATTGTATGTATAGATTTAACTTTGGAAAATAAGTTTTGAAACTTTTTTCCACTCGTGTAATTTTCAATAGACTTTAGAGAGTAAGGTATTTCATGTTGAGTGAGTTTACAAACAAATTTTTTACGATCTTCTTGATCAATCACTTGGAAAATACCCGGATACTGTTTTAAAAAGACTTTAATTTCTTCATCACCTTTGTCAGCCATATTTTTATGTAACCACGTGACAATTACTCTTAGATCCAAATAACAGACATAAGTTCACCTGAATATGAATAATTTCAAAAATTTGCTACATCTTATTTTGTTAAATAATATATCACTTAAGATATCTTATTAACCTATATTGATTAAATATAATTTTTAAATTTTATTAGTTTATCAAAGCCTAAAATATTTTTAAAATTTTTACCCACAGCCTCGTTTGCAAACAGTCCTCAGGTTTAAACGCGTGGAGTATACGACTCATTTCTTTTACTTCCAAGTTATTCCTGTAAGTTCGCGTTTTCCCAATTTGTTCGAGATCTTTAAATTAATTTTGATTATTAATTGCATTTAAGTTAAACAAATGAAAATATATTCTTTTAATTTTTTTAAATATAAATATTTCCTTTTAGACCTCGTCTTTAAACCGTTAGGCAATCCTTACTATATACAAAATGGTTAGGGAAGACAGGAAAGCATGGAAAGCGAAGTACTTCGCTAAAATTGATAAGATGTTAGATGAATTTCCACGATGTTTCCTCGTAACTGTAGACAATGTAGGATCTAAACAAATGCAACAAATTCGAATAGCATTAAGAGGAAAAGGAGAAGTTCTTATGGGTAAAAATACGATGATGCGTAAAGCCTTAAAAGCTAAATCTCAAAAGATTCCTGGTCTTGAAAAGTAAGTATTCTGTATGACAATTAACAAGCCAAGTCAAGATATATTTTAGATAGTAACAAATACATTTTTTTTAACAACGGTAAAAGCTGTTTAATAATTGATATTTTTTTAAAATTTTAGAATTCTACCATATCTTGTTGGAAATATTGGCTTTATATTCACCAAAGAAGATTTAACTGAAGTTCGTGATTTGGTTCTCAGTAACAAAAAAAATGCTCCTGCAAAAGCCGGGTCAATTGCTCCTCTTGATGTGTTTATTCCAGCTGGTAACACTGGTATGGGTCCAGAAAAAACCTCTTTTTTCCAAGCACTGTCAATTCAAACCAAGATTACAAAAGGGACTATTGAAATACTTAGTGATATTCATTTAATCAAGAAAGATGTCAAGGCAGGTTCATTTGATTTAAAAGATAAATTTCTTAACTTGACAGTTAAACTTAATTTTAATGACATCTATTACCTTTTTTAGTTGTTTTAGCATTATAAATTATGCATTATAAGGTACATAATACCTTAAACTGAGTCAAAAATAGGAAATGTTCGTTATTCAAACTTTTTGACCAATATTTATAAATATGCATGGCATTGTCATAATACATATAAAGTATTTTCTGTGTAAAATAGTATAGAATACTAGGTTAAGATAACTTCTGATAAAGTAATGTAATTTCTAAAACCAATGTTCTATATTAGGTTGGTGCTTCTGAGGCTGCTCTTCTTGCTATGTTGAATATTCAACCATTTTACTATGGTTTAGTCATCAAACAAGTTTATGACAACGGAAGCATTTTCAGTCCTGATATTCTTGATATCTCTGACGATGATATAATGAAGAAATTTTATTCAGTTTGTTTTTTCTTTTACATTTATAAAATAATTTACATGTGCATATATAAAGATAAGAGTTTAATGGGTTTTCTTTAAACAAAATTTTATTAATAACTTAATCAATTTAAAGGGTGTTGCAAATGTTGCTGCTGTTTCATTGGCTATTGGGTACCCAACAGCTGTATCTGTTCCTCATTCTATCGTTAACGGATTTAAGGTAAGTTTAGTTTAAGAGTAATTAACTTCAATGCTGTGTCTATTTTAGTTTTATGATATTTTTTTTCTCATCATATCAAAGTGTTATGATTAATATTACTGTTATTTTTCTATCATTTTAATAGAATGTTGCAGCTGTTTGTTTGGAAGCAGATATCTCTATTCCACAAATTGCTAAGGTAAATATGTTTACATAAATAATTCATCTTGATTTGCAGTAAGATAAACTATTAACTATTAAGATAAATAACAAGTTTAGAAGATTTTAGTTTAAGTTTTTAAGATTGTCACTATTTGTATGAATAGGTTGGCTCCATAGTATCAATATAAATGTATTTGATTGCTAAATCAGTTTAAAATGCATATTAATGTTTGGCATGTGGGGGGGACTATCGGTTTTTATATAATTTAGGTTAAAAGTTATACCTTGGCTGTAAATCTGTAAGTCTGTCATTTTATAAGTTAAATTAGATTATTAAACTATTTAATATTTTTTATTAGATCAAGGAGTATTTAGCTGATCCCAGCAAATTTGCTGTTGCTGCAGCTCCGGTTGCCGCCCCAGCAGCCGCTGCTCCAGCAGCTGCCAAGAAGGAGGAAGTGAAAAAAGAAGAATCAGAGCCATCTGATGATGACATGGGTTTTGGACTATTTGATTAAATGTTGTATATGTAAATCCAGTAGATTGCTTCTGCATTATGTTGATATAGTTTTTTTTTTTTTTTTTTTTTTTTTTTTTTTTTTTTTTTTTTTCTTCTCATTATTAGCCAGAGTTGTTGTTTCACTACCTGGTTTATAACAGGGTTCCCACTCCTTAAAAAAAAAAAACCTCCTTTAATAACCTTGAAAAAGTTAGTCATTTCTCCTTATTTTATTTTTTTTTTTACTTTTTAAAAATTTTATTGAAGTGAATGGGTTCTACTAATTTATAAAGATGCTAATAAATATTTTTTTTATTATTGAAATGCTAAAAAAATGTATATTTGGTATATGCAATGCATCCTTTATGCTTTTTGGCGCTTTTCAATCAATTTCGAAAGAAAGGTTCCGTGCAAATTGTGACGACTTTCTCCCTAATTCTCCTTATTTTTTAATGAAAATTTTGCCATTTTGGGTTAAATCTCTTTAGAAATTAGGGAAATTCCCTCCTTAAAATCCTTATTTTTATCCTCATTTTTATTAGTGGTAACCCTGTATAAGTGTCGTGGAGAGAGTTACATGTTTCATTATTTGATTTTTTATCTAATTATGGAATGTAGCTTTTAAAACAGGTTATTTATGTTGTCTCTATTAAAAGTCTAACTCTCTATTAAAGTCTAACTCTCTATTAAAGAGTCTAACTACTTAAAATTTAATAAATTATATTAAATTGACTGGTTAATTTTAAAGTCTTCAAAATATTCATGAGAAAATTATTAATCTTAGTAAGTCCTTTAAGTAACGCTATGGCCTTAAACTGTTTGAAAAATCGCGATATTCTGTAACATTTTTAAAGCGGTGCGTAAAGTTTTTCTTTCTAGTTGATATATTTCAAATTTTTTTATTTATTTAAACATTAAATCTTCAATAAAATTTTGTATCATTAAATTGAACTCTGTTAGGTATTTACCGATCGTTTTTTTCAACCGGTTCAATTTCCTTGATATTTTTGCATATTTTCAAATAAATAATGCATTTTGTAAATTAAAATCAAGAAAAGGAAGCAAAATGTTTAGATCATAGTTTTTGTGGCGGTAAAGATTGATTAATTAGACCATATTACCACAGAGGTAGTCGGTTTTTTATTTATTATAAATTCTGTAGTTTATTATAAATTCTGTAAACTTTGTAGAACTGAAATAATATTCTAGCTACCTAGTAGTAACAAAGTATAGAATCAATTCATTGTTGTGGGTTTTATTTAAAACCGGTTAGTAAGTATAAAAAACAAAACTGGATGCGAAGCGGTACATTTATTCCTAATTTTGAAGTTATAACTTTTAAGTTAAGCGTGGTTTAATGTTTTAAAATGGTTACTTTAAATCTTAGAAAACTTTTGTTTGATAGTATTCCTCCAAGGTATATATTAACAAGTTAAAATTTATTTGTATGTGCTATATTTTTGGAGTCCACGTTTTTATTACTTTATGTTGGTTAAATAGTAAGTTTTAAGTTTTAAAACATTTTTGAAAGTCTGGCTTTTTATTTAATAATAATTTATGAAAATGGAAAAAGTTGTTTCTTACAACTTTTTCCATTTTCATAAATTTATACCTTCTAGAGTGGGTAGAATAGCAGAAAAAGATTCAACATCAGCATCAACTGCGTGCTTTCTATATGCTCATCTTGTATCAGTAAGTCGTTTCTGAGTGTCTACTGTTGATTCATATAGACATTTTTGGTGCTCTTAGAGAATATAAAGTCGTGGTAAACTAGACACGTATACAATTTTTCAGCTGTGCCTAGAAACATCAGGACATTGCTATTTACAGACATTGCTCCGATGGTTACCAAGTTTAAAACATGAGCACAACAATGAACATAAATGGCATTTAATAAAAGCGTTTTTATTCGAGTTTGAAGACCACTTTTTATTCCAAATATTACATAAGCACCATCATATGCTTGTCCTCTGCAGAATTTAATATCAATGTTTCTCTTTTCAAAGTTTAATAACAATATTTCGAAAGAAAATTTTTTAAAACCTCTGTTTTAAAATAATTCCTCTCTCTCTCTTTCCATTAGTATTTATTTTTATTCATTTTGTTTTTGATTAGTAATTTGAATTTATAATTTTTTTGTGTGAATGTTTTAGGGGGCGCCGTTTGATCGTTCTAAGGGGCGTGTGGGGGCAGCTCCCCCTCCCCCACGCTCTATACTAAATCCGCCACTGCTTTATATATAACCAATAAAAGACAATTAAAAAAAAACAAAAAAACATTCCGAGCCAAAGCTTTTTTGTCTGGAAGTAGTTTACAAGATCAAACAATTTATCTAGTAAAGCAAAATGCACCCTGTGCAATTTTTTCATAAAAAGGTTCGAGCACATCTGGTCTGATTACCCACATGTGAACTATTTATAGCATAATATTAAAAAAATAAGAAGTTAGATAAAACATCTGTTACAGAAGTTCCAAAAAGCAAACAAAAGTAGACGGTTTCTTTAAACGTGAAACCTTAGCTGAACTGCTAGAAAAACGTGCCTCAAAGGATGACATGTCTTTTAATACAAATACGAAATCCGATGCAACGCACGAGTTAATTCAGAAACGTGGTTTCCAAATGCCAAAAAGTCAAATAGTAGCAAAACTAATAATATCGTTTTACGAAATCAAAAAGATTTTAAAAAGATTTGTTGAAAAGTTCAGCATAAAAGTTGATAAATGGACTGACATCTCCATTAATAGGTATATAACTATAACTTCACAATAAAGTTGAAGAGTTAGTGAAACAAAAATTGACAGAATTTGGATTAGTTTTTAGAATTTGTGTTAGATTTTACACGATTGAATCTACTCACGATGGTGCTGTAGTAATGCAAAAATATGGACTGATAATTTCAATAGAGAGTCAACTGTGCCACAATCACTGTATTCATCTGGACGTAACCGATGTTTTCTACAAAAATTTACGTACTAGCGACGACCGAACATGTTCGAGTGACAAATCAAATGAAGAAGATGCCGTTGAATATAATAATCCAAACGATTCCGATGAACATCTTTTTAATTTTACTTTTTTAAGAAGATAATGATTTAAATATATACAAAATGACAATGGTCATCTAAAGAGATTATATCGCAGCGGCATTTTTAATGATAACATAGAGAAAACTGCTCATGGAAGAAGTAACAGAACATGTCGAAATGACATTAAGTCTGTATTGAATAATTCAAAACCCCAATTCAAATACATCACAAAATAATGATGGTTTCAAATGTTCACCAAAGTCAGCAATTATTTAATATGCAAAAAATAAAGTTTAACAAAATTTTACCAAAGTATTGGATAGCGTCAATGTCGAATCATCGGATGAAGAAGATGCTGAAGAACCCAACCTTAAGACACAGACTTACAACAATCCCTTCCAAAAATGGTTTGTTTCCTACCCAAGATTAGTTGTTCTGATTCATTTTAAAAGAAATTTGAAGCAAGTGAAGTTTAAACATCAAATTTAAATAAGATTGATGTTGCTCTCAAAATAATTCAACATCCAGCGTAAGAACTTTTTCGATTGCTTGTAACTTTTCAACTAAGTTTCAAAGCCAAATGAATTTTAATATTTTAAATGCAATAATATTTTTAAATCCTATTTTTTAGAACGACAAATTATTGAGTTATTACAATTTGATAAGTTTGAGGCGCAGTGGTTAGAGCGTTTACTTTATAAGCAGTAGATCCGGATTCGAAAAGAACTCTGGACATATTTTCGCGTCACGGTAAGGAAGCAGACGTGAACCTCCTAGTTAAATGCACTTCCGCGGTGCTCTGTGACAAGAACGTTAGATCTTCTTGATGCACCTAAATAACAAAAATAAAAAATATAAAATATTTAACATTTTGAATAATACATTTAATTTTTAGATATTAAAAAGTAAAATGAAATAAAATAGAAAAAGAAAAATGCGTAAACTTTAATTTTATATTTTATTGTTTCTTTTAATAAGGATTTGGCTGCATTTTTTAAAATGTTTTTTTATAAATAACGCGCAATAACGGTTTGTTCCGGTATTGAACTATTTTAAATACCGGAAACCAAAATCATAATTTTCCGGTATTTTGTAAACTCTAATAAATTTACACAATAGGCCGGGTGAGCAATTGCTTTTACTAAGTAATTGGTCAGCTTTACGTGAATAAAAACTTCAGCAGTTTTGCTCAAATTTTTTTATTTACGTAAAGTTAAGCAATTTACTTAGTAATTGTTCGGCTTTACGTAAATAAAAAATTAGGGAAAATTCCTTTAGCTTTTATTCACGTAAAGCTGACCAATTACTAAGTAAAAGCAATGCTTTATTCACCCGGCCATTTTGTTACGTTACCATTATATGACATAGTGTTATGCAACATAAAATATGTTGCATAATACTATAACAGTAATACCACGTGTAAAGGCGAGCCGTTTTTTCACGGGAACGGGAAAGGGACGGGAAAAATAATCACGTGGGCATGCGTAGAATAACTTTTAATATTTCAGAAGGAAAACTACGCATGCTCACGTGATTATTTTTCCCGTCCCTTTCCCGTTCCCGTGAAAAAACGGTTGAGTGGAAACTCGCCTTTATGTAACATAATAAAACGCTGTTTAACAAATTTAACTAAGTATTAATCCAGTCGGCGTGACGTTACTCCGTATTAAAAGTACTGTTTTAAAATTAATCATCTTGAATTGGGGGAAAACAAACTAAAAAATCAGTCACGGTTTGTTGAGTAATTTTTTTTTATCTTTAAAAGTTGTGCATTTATTGAAAGTTAAAACAAAAAGTCTTTCAAAATGCAAGGCACCGTATTGTAGAGAATTTTGTGCTCTATCTAAAGGTGTAAAAATTGTTTTTAAAAATTTATTTTACTTAGCAAACTTTAAAATTCTCAATCTAGTAAAAAGTAAAAATTAACTTCAGAACTCCCAAACTAAAATTAAATTTTACTAAAGTAAAAAGACTGTTTTGTAGAAAATTTTATGACGATCAAAATTCTCTTTTCAAAATTGAATTTGCTAGTTCCAG